AGCAAAATTCCAACTGTTCTCCCCTCTAAGCCGCTCTGTCCCTCTCCTGTCCCGAGACAGAATCTCTAGATCCTTTCCCTTCCTACCCCCTCTCCCTGGACCCCCAGGCCTTGGTTGTGACATTTAGGTTGATCTTACTTTCTGCCTCCCCAACATCTGTACCCTTTGGAGAGTTTTGTACTTTTAATTTTAGACTAGTGTTTGGACCAAGTGAGACAGGAATACAAAATGGTTTTTTGAATTTGTTTTCAATCAGTGCCTCCGACTGTGCTCTGTCAGATCTTTATTATACATCCCTTCAAACATTCCAAGCAGCTCCCTTCGCTTCCTGGTTAATTTCCGGTAGCAGAAGCTCAGTCCAGACTAATTTAACACTTTGATCCCCGTGAATACTCTCCCTCCTGGCTCAGGTCTGGCCCCGAGGAAGGAGTGGGGGTCTCGCTCTCCCTCCCAACCCATGTCTCCTGAGTCCCTTTGCCCCTGGGAGCTGGGGCTGGCCAGGGAAAAATGGACTCGGAGCGAAGTCTTTCTACTCAGCTGGTGTTCCTGACGCCCTCCCTCCGTGGGCAGATAATCCACACTGACTCGCGAGAGCCCCTGCAGCACTTGCCCACTGCATCGTTCCCAGGAAAGGGAGAGATTTTTCCTGCCGCCTCATAGCTCCTGCCCCTCCCCACCCTCCACATCGCTTCCCACAGGGGTCCCCTCACCCAGCTAGCAGCTCCCCTGGCACCCGCAAGATGGTTAACGCGGCAAGCAGTTAGCTCAGAGGAAACACACACGTGTTCACCGTGCCGCCACCCCACCTTTGCCCTGACTTCGCTCTGGTCCTTTTTTTCTCGCTCAGCCAGCTCGGATGACACAGAGGGGAGCTCAGCAAGTCTCCTGCATGAGGATATGTCCCAAGGGGCGAGGATTTGCCGGCCCCCTTCTTTCCAGGCACCCCGGTCTCTATCAGTGACTCTCTTGAAGCCCCGCTTGGTTGGCCTGGGGACGCGGGGATGGTGGGGAGGAAGGAAAAAGGCCACAGTCCCTTCCCTTTAGGCTCACGACTCCCCGACTCTTACAGATGCTCCAATTTCCAGTTTTCTGTATTACGTGGCAGAGAGATGCTGGAGGAGACATTGGAGCCAGTTCTGCCCCCTCACCCCGGCTGTGAGGTCTCCGTGGGGACACAGGGTCAGAACCCATGGGAATGGGACACTGCAGCCCTGGGGTCTTTGGTGGGGCTTGGAGGGCTGGTGAGTCCCACAGATGACTCCCACGCTGGAGCTCACACCATTTCCACCTGTACCGGGGAGGACAGGCAGCTGCTCTCAGGACCACGAGACACCTACCCAGCGCGCGGTCCTCGTCGAACCATCTGCATGATGCACAAACAATGGAGTGTTCTCAAGCCTTAAAAAGGAAGGAAATCTGACACACGCGTGGATATGCACGGACAACGCGGATGAACCTTGAGCACATTATGCTGGGTGAGATCAGCCAGCTGCGGGACACATACTATGATTCCGCTTCCATGAGGGACCTACGGTGGTCAGATTCACGGAGACAAGAGGTAGCATGGTGTTGCCGGGGGCAGGGGTGGAAGGGGGAGAGTGTTCAATGGGGACAGTTTCCATTTGGGAAGATAGAAGGGGTGTTGTGGGTAGATGCTGGGTTGGCAACATAACAATGTGAATGCACTTAATACTGCTGAAGTGTATGCTTAAAAATGGTGAGGGTGAGGGCCCCTGGGTGGCTCAGTCGGTTAAGCATCCAACTCTTGATTTCAGCTCAGGTCATGATCTCATGGTTCGTGAGTTCGAGCCCCACATCGGGGTTCACGTTGGTGGTGTGGAACCTGCCTGGGATTCTCGTTCTCCCTCTCTCTCTCTGCCCCTCCGCTGCTCTCTCTTTCTCTCCAAAAATAAGATAAAATAAAATGTTTTTTAACGGTGAAGATGGCAACCTTTGTGTCATGTATATTTAACCGCAATAAAACAAAATGTTTTTAAACCCATTCATATGGACCCAGTCATGCAACAAACCACCCACACCATTTAGTGAGCTCCCCCTGGGTGCCAGGTGCAGGAGCCATAGTGGTAAAAAATAAATAATAAGAGGCAGAGAGGGCCCTTGCTGTCACAGAGCTCCCACCCAGCAGGGAAGGCAGACAGAAGTGGCTGGGGTGACAAGGGCGGAGGCTCCGGGGGCTGAATGGACAACCAGAGCCACATGGCCAGTGAGCCCAATCACAGAAAACCCAAGACGGAGAGATGTGCCTAGGTCAGATGAAGTGGTCCCAGCACACATCCGGTGCAAACCAGCCCCAGCCTTGCGTGGCTAATGCTGCACTTGCCCAAAGGCGTGTGTGGAGGATGATAAAGCCAAATCAGGACAGTGAAGACATCTTGGGGGGGGGGGAGGGGGAGGGGGAGAAGCATAGATAAAGGGCACAGCTGGCTTTCAATGTATTTAACTTCTTTAAAATTTTTTCTTTTCCTACATTTTTTTTTAACGTTTATTCATTTTGGAGAGAGACAGAGACAGAGACAGAGAGACAGAGCACGAGCAGGGGAGGGGCAAAGAGAGAGAGAGGGAGAGGGAGAGAGAGAATCTTAAGCAGGCTCCCCACCCAGGGCAGAGCCCAGCCCAGGGCTCGATCTCAAGACCGCAAGATCACCACCTGAGCCAGAATCAAGAGTCGGACGTTCAACCGACTGAGCCACGCAGGTGGCTTACGTTTCATTTGCAAAATTAAGACCGGTTTTTAGAGCCATTTTAGACACAGCAAAATTGAAGGGAAGGTACAGAAGTTTCCCATTTACTCCCAACCCCCACCCACGCATAGCCTCCCCAACTGGGTGAGGCTCCCCAACTCAGTGTCCCCCAGCAGCGTGGGACATTTGCTACAACTGATGAGCCTACATGGGCACATCACCATCACCCAAGGCCCATAGTTTATATTACGGCTCACTCTTGGTGTTGTACATTCTACGAGTTTGGACAAATTACGACAGGGATTCACTACTGTCGTATCATACAGAGTATTTTCACTGCCGAAAAGAGGACAAACGTAGGGGAGCCTGGGTGACTTGGTTAAGCATGTGACTTCAGCTTAGGTCATGATCTCACAGTCCGTGGGTTCAAGCCCCGCGTTGGGCTCTGTGCTGACAGCTTGGAGCCTGGAGCCTGCTTTGGACTCTCTGTCTCCCTCTCTGTCTGCCCCTCCCCCACTCGTTCTCTCCCTCTCTCTCTCTCTCCCTCCCCCCCTCTCTCTCTCCCTCTCTTTCTCAAAAATAAATAAACATTAAAAATTTTTTTTTTTTAAAAAGGGTAGATGTTCAGGGGCACTTGGGTGGCTCAGTCGGTTGAGCATCTGACTTCAGCTCAGGTCATGATCCCACGGTTCGTGAGTTCGAGCCCCACGTCAGGCTCTGTGCTGACAACTCAGAGCCTGGAGCCTGCTTCGGATTCTGTGTCTCCCCCTTTCTCTGCCCCTTCCCCACTCATACTTGGTGTCTCTCTCTCTCCAAAAAAAAATTAAAAAAAAATTTTTAGAGGGTAGATGTTCATCATGTATTTATATAGAAGAGAAGCAAATCTTAAAATTGTACATTTTCTGTCATCCCATTTTTGTTAAAGATTTTGGGTACAGGCAGGAAAAATAATCTAGGCAGGACAAACTGAGATGTTAACGTAATCTCTGGGTTTATGGGAGGTTTGTTCTCTCTTCTGCTTATTTGTATTTTAAGAGGTTTTTGCAATGAACACAAAGTACTTATAAAATAAAAAGGGGGAGGGGGGTCTTCCTCTGTTCCCTGGGTTCCCTCTGTCCGTTCCTAGGACGTTGAGAGAGAGAAGTGGCCAAGAGCAGAAGGGGGCTGTGCACGTCCATCAAGGTAGCAAGCACTTCCTAGCCTCCCACCGTGGGCCAGGACCTTGGGGATAAACCCGGTTCTCAACAAGCTCCCACAGTAGAGGCAGGAACTGGGGGCCCCAGTCAAGAATCCGAGGCAATCTGGAGAGGAGTCACTGGGGGAGGGCAAGGTGAGGGGCCCGGGGCAGCGCTGGGGATGGCAGGAGGGACTCTGTCGGGCAGGAGGTGAGAAGCCTAGCCTCGGTGTGGAGTGGGGTGTCAGGGAAGGGGCTCCGGACAGTGAGGGCATCTCAAGGGACAAAGCTGGGGGCAGGGCACTACAGGCCACATCTTTTCAGGGAGCCCAGAGCGGTTTGGTGAGCTCTGCAGGGCCGGGAGCAATAGGGAGCCATAGAATGTTTAGAAGGACACGTGTTGACCAGGCTGTGCTGCAAAGTACAACCCAAGGCAAACCACCCTCATCCAGGCAGTGGGGGTGGGGGGAGATATAGGGACCAGCTTCAGGCCTGCATCAGGGACCCCGTTCCTCCCTCTCCACCTACCTCTCTCTGTTCTGCTTGTCTACACACTCCCCTCGTTCTCTCCTCCTGAAAACCGGAGGAGGAGGAAGAGGAGGGAAGGAAGAGAGAACATATCCACCAGTCTCCATCACGGCCAGTATCCACGCCCCTGGCCTGGCCTCTCTACCACCTTGCACCTGTGCCACACCTGCCCAGCCCCCTGCCCCCCATCTGCCAAGACCCCTCCCCGGGACCTTCTGGAAGGCACAGCTCCGCTCCTCCCTGGCTGAACTGGAAATCCGGTTTGCCCCTAAGGACAAGGAATGTGGCCTCTGGGGCCCTCCCCGGGGGCAGTTTTTCCTCCTGAGTCCCTGACCTCAGGCTCCAGGAGTGGGCAGGGCTCCTCTGGACCCCTCATGGGGGGTTCCAGACCACATCAGTCTTCTCTCCCTCACAAATCCACTCCCCCGCTCCTGTGCAGTCCCATTTCCAAAACCCTGGGCCACTGCATGGGGATCTGGCTCCGTCCCCCTCACTGTGGCCACTTACCGCTCAGCCCCAGGGCCTCTCTGTTCTTGGATCTCACTGCACTGGCCTCCCTTCCGCTCCAATTTTGCCTCCCACTATCACGTGCCTCCTTCAGACTTTTACTTATTTACTTTTACTGTGAAAACTAGGACAATAGGAAAAGGTAGGTTTTGTTCTCACAACTGACGGTGCCTGTCTGGGACCAGCTCAGGCAAACAAACACCCTAGTTCTCCAGGTACACGCACCCCCGGCGGGGCGGTGGGGGGGGGGGGGGGGGGGGGGTGGTTGCAACCGGTAAATACGCCGGACGTAAAATTTACCATCTTAACCATTTCAAGGGTACATTCTGTGGCTCTGTTGTGCTACTGTCACCTCCCTCCATCTCCAGAACTCTTCGTCCCGCAGATCTGACACTCCGTCCCCGTTCAGCACTAACTCCCTACCCCCCTGCCAGCCCCTGGCAACTGCCATCCTACCTTCTGTTTCTGTGAATTGGACAACTCCAGGTGCCTCGTGTAAGTGGAATGATGGAGTATCTGTCCCTTCGTGATTGGGTGATTCCAGCCAGCATGTTGTGCTCAAGGTTTATCCATGTCTTAGCAGGTGTCAGTTTCCTTCCCCTTTAAGATTGAACACACTCCAATGTCCCACTGTATCCATTCATCCATCGCTGGACGCGTGGGGCATTTCTATGCTTTAGCCACTGTGATTAATGCTGCCGCGAACACCGGCATAGAAATCATCTTCTCGTGTCTCTGCTTTTAATTCGTTGGGGTGCATACCCAGAAGTGGAATTCCTGGACCGTCCAGCGAGTCTATGTTTCATTTTTTGAGCAGCTGCCATATTGTTTTTCACAGTGGCTGTACCAGCGCACGTTGCCACTGGCAGGGCGCGAGTGGTCCGGGATCCCACATTCCCACCACGTTTGTTCCAGCAGATGGGAGACCACCCAGCAGGTGGTCCACACAGTGGACCGGGGCAGGGGGTGGGGGGCGGGCGGTCTCATGCTGTGCTGCTGAAAACCCACTCTTCCTCTCTCCCCACCGATCTGTGGGGCTAGTTCTTTCCAGGGCGAGTTCCACCACATTCCCGTGCCCTCTGATCTTGCCTAACTATCCAAGTCCAGCCGGTCAGGAAAATGTCAGGCCGGAGCGATCCTCACGTCCTCTTCGTTGTTTGTGGTCGATGGTCATTCTGAGCTGGGCACCCCCACTGCCCCTCAACCACAGATGCCCTGGGGGGAAACGGGTCACTTCTCAGCTGTCCCACCTCGCTCGTCCCCTTTCTCCTCCATGTCTTGGTGACCTCCGGCCTCACCAGGGTTGAGGAGTGAAGATGGGGAAGCGGTCAGGGAAAGCTTTCTTGTCTGCACTGTCGGAGGGAGGGTTCCTCTGGCTGTGGCAGATGTCGAAAACTTTCTCTTTCAAGTGGTAGATTTTGGAGAGCCTTCCTGTATTCTATCTACCCCAGGGTCTGCTGTGCTGGCTTCGCCCGACACAGGAGACTCCATCTGTCCAGTGACTAGCTGTACTCTTGCCCCTGGTCTGAGCCTGTGATGGAAAACCTCCAGTTTTTCCACCAGGGTCCCCTTCACATCAACCCACGCAGGCCCCCAGCTCTTCCTATCAGGCCCCCGGCCGACACAGCTCCTTCGAGACACTCCCGCACATCCTTGGGCCCTACAAAGTGTTTGACAGCTGATGGCCAGTTATGAACTCTTGGCCATGTGACTTTTCAGGTATCAGACACCCTTCTAGAATGTTCCCCCGGCTTCAGGAGGTATTTATAAAAGTTCTCCCACAGGTCGTGCTGAAGGGACTGCTGAGCAGCCCTTGGCCCTCTATCTTTGGGGGACGCTCCAAGCACAGTGTTGGCCTGGGTATCCCAAAAAGCAGAGTCGGAGATAAAGGCTCATCGTGCATCCAGGCACTTCGCTGGGGTGTGTGGTTCCAGAGGAGCCTGAGTGAGACAGGGAAGGAAGAGAGTCAGTGCAAGGATGTGCTGCTGAGTATGGGACCCCTAGACCCTGGCTGCTGGCTTCTGCAGGACCATCTGAGGACCAGCCTTTATGGAATGTATCGGGACCAGTCTGGCTGGTCTCACGAGAGAGCAGTAGCACAGTGAGGTTGGCATTGGCCCCTGCTGCTGGTAGGTTTCACATTAGCAAATATAGCCTTCGAGGCCCGTGGATGGCCTCCAACTCTGTCACCGTGGCCTACTTGTTGTGGGCCATGAACAGGCTGGTAGACCTTCCCAGGACAAGACATCCGGTCTACCTGGTTTGCCTAGTGCCCCCTCTGGTGGCCATTGGTATGAAATACAACACTGTGTGCCCACTTCCCAGGTCATCCACTCATCCACATGCCTGGTCCCCAGATCTCAACTCCAGTTTCTCAATCTTGCTTCTTCTTGTCCCTGACCACTCAGCAAAGCCATTCACCACCACCCACATGTTCACATATACCCTTAGCTCAGACCCCTCTTCTCCAGCCTTTCAAAGATGACCAGGCATGTGGCTTAAGTCTCTGTCCACCCCGCAAACAGGGTCTTGCACGGGATAGAGCTCCACCAGTGCGACAGAACCACACAAGATCTTAAAGGAGGAGCAAAGTGGGGGCCTCCGGGGTCTTCCTCTCTGACACCAGCAGCGGGCTGTCACAAGATCAAACTCCCAGAGCAGCAGTGGATGCAGGATTAAGGCAATGCAATGATGTCCTTCCTATACCAGTTCTGCATGACCTGATTTCTGATTTTGTTCCCGGTTCTGCAGGCCTTCCCCAAATTCTTTTCCCAGTCACTTTTTTTTTTTCCAAATTCCTTTTTGCTTAAATCAGCCAGAGTCGTTTCTGCTTGTGGTAGCTTACAAAAATGGCCACAGGAATTCTTCCCATAGCCGTGTTCACGCAGTTTTGCGATATGTCATTGCAAAGTCTATTTCTCCGCCCTTGAATCTGGACTTGACCAATGCGACATTAACAAATATGGTTCAGGGGCGCCTGGGTGGCTCATTCAGTTAAGCATCCGACTTCGGCTCAGGTCATGATCTCACGGTTTGTGAGTTCGAGCCCCACATCAGGCTCTGTGCTGACAGCTCAGAGCCTGGAGCCTGCTTCGGATTCTGTGTCTCCCTCTCTCTGTCCCTCCCCACTTGTGCTCTGTCTCTCAAAAATAAATAAATGTAAAACAATTTTTTTTTAAATAAACAACAACAACAACAAAAAAACCCCAAATATGGCTCAGTAGGGGCTTGAAGAGTGCAAGAACCCTGTGGCTTGGTCTCTCATGTCCATGGGATACTGTGACATAAACGGGGCTGAGCTAGCCTTCCAGATGATGACCGACAGGTGGCCAAATCATCCTTGCTACCCCAGCTAAAGATCAAGCAAACCTACAAACACAAGTGAGGCCATCCTGAACCACAGAGCAACAGCCATGCTGAACCAGATCAGAAGACCTACCCAACTGGACTGAAGAATTTTGATAAGTCATACATATTCATTGTTTTAAGCCATTAAGTTTTAGGGTGATTTGTGACACAGCAAAAACTAACGCACACACTATTTCTAGTGAAGGAGAACCCTACCTGACACACGCCTACGTCGTATTCGTCTCTACATCATGTTGATTTCAATTCTCATTTGAATAAGTTTCAGTTGGTGTCCCTGTATCCATTGGTGCCCCCTCTGATCTTTTTCCAACCTGCCAATTTAATCAGCCACACCCTCTACTTAAAACCCTTTATAGGCTGTAAGACGACCCACCTCAACATACCGCCCCCCTTCATTTTCCACACATGCTCTGACCTGCGGTCACACAGTGATGGTGCCTGTGAGCCTACGTTCCATCATGGGATGGAGTCCCCTCCTTGCTCACATGTGCACAGACGTGCATAAAACAGTATGCACACATAAGCAGACTCATCAGGCTCTCTTTGCGTTTGGGGACGGGGTGCAAGGGAGGAAGCCTGCCTGAGATAGGTCCTGACTCAGGCACTTACTGCCTGGGAGAAATCAGCAAGTTGAGTAGCGTCTCTGTACTGCAGTTTGATCACGGTGCCGGCTCTGAGGTTGACATCAGTTCGCGTACGTAAGATTCTTACGACTGTGGCTGGCACATGGAATGCATATAGATCGGCCAGCAGCACCATTATCATTCTCCACAAATACTCGCTGGGTGTCTGCTCTTGGCCAGGCACTGTCCTAGGGACACAATTAGCAAGACAGGAAGATTCCTGGCTTTCGAAAGCTGACATTTTTGAGAGGTGAGTAGAAGAATAAACAAGTAAGAATATAATAATTTCAGGGGTGCCTGGGTGGCTCAGTCGATTAAGCATCTGACTCTTGGTTTATGCTTAGGTCATGATCTCTTGTGGAATCCAGCCCCATATCTGGCTCTGTGTCAACAGCATGGAATCTGCTTGGGTTTCTCTCTCTCCCTCTCATAATAGTTCCTTGAAATGTATCTGTCAGCTTCTGACATAGGAAATATCTCACAGCAGAGGGAACTCCTTCCCTAAACCCTCCCTGCCTTGCGTCAGACCCTTGTTCCCCAAATTCTAGGCCTTTACCCCTAAATCCAATGATAGAACGATTTGGGCCTTTGTCTTCTATATCCTGGTTGGCTGGGGGCCTGGTCTCTCGTACCTACAAAGGCCCATCCGGGGCTGATCTCACACACGAGCCTCCACTGCCTGGCGGAGATAGAGGTGAGGGGCAGAAGTCAGAGGGAGGGGGGGGCACCTGTGTGGCTGTCGGTTGAGCATCCGACTTCGGCTCAGGTCAGGATCTCACGGTCTGTGAGTTGGAGCCCCGCGTCGGGCTCTGTGCTGACAGCTCGGAGCCTGGAGCCTGCTTCGGATTCTCTGTCTCCCTCACTGTTTTTTTTGTCTCTCTCAAAAATAAATACACATGCAAAAAAAAAAATTTTTTTTTTAAAAAAAAAAGAAGTCAGAGGGAGAAGTAAGGGCAGCCCCCCACCCCCACAACCCAGGACTCTCTGTCTCTCTTTTGGGGCCAGAACCAGGAAGAGATTGAGAGACTCTTTGGGGCAAGAGTTTCCTGGTGGGGGGAGGGGTGAATATGCTGAGGACTCACCTCACTGCCTCACCCTTGGCAAGGTGTTACCTTACTGTCCACTCTACCAGGACTCCCTTGTCTCTCTCCCTCTCTCTCTCTCTCTCTCTCTCTCTCTCTCTCTCTAGGTGAAGTGGGGAACCCAGACCCATCCCAGGGCCCCCGTGGGCACCCAGGAAGCCTCATTCCTGTGCGTGGGCACCCTCTGTCTGCTGGGGTCGGGACACATGGTGGAGGTGGGGGGAACCTCAGCCTGGGCTGAGGGAAGGAGACAGCCATGGAAGCCCTCATGGGGGACCGGTGGGAGAGGGGGAATCTGACTCTGTCACAAGTTCCTTCTCCAAGGCCAGAGAAGGCCTGAGGTGGCCCTGCTGACCTGTGGGCCACGGAGATCCATAGACTCACGATTTCATAGGGAATTATTTGTTTTAATTTACATGCACACATTTATTTCTCATTTTAAATACATCAAGAAAATAGAGCTGAAACCTTTCAGGATCAGCCCTGCAACAAGACACTGGGGCTTGGTTTTGTGAAGTCGGCGTGCCCATGCTCCATGCTGAGAGCCGAGGCCCACGGAGAGGCTCCCTGGCATGGGTCCGGGAATGGATGCTAACTTTAGCATTTAGAACAACTCCAGGCAGCTGTTTCTAGGAACAGGACCTCCAGCCCCGCCCAAGAGAGCATAGCATTGCGTATTTTTAGTATTAAAAGCAAAACTACCACCATTTATTAAATGTGCGCTAAGTGCCATTGCGCAAAGGGCACCTTCCCCACAAAACGTGTTTTAGCAGGTTTCTTTTTTTTAATCTTTTTTTGGTAAGGTTTCATTTTTTGAGAGACAGCGTGATCAGGGGAGGAGCAGAGAGAGAGGGAGACACAGAATCCGAAGCAGGCTCCAGGCTCTGAGCCATCAGCACAGAGCCTGACGCGGGGCTCGACCTCACGAACTGTGAGATCATGACCTGGGCTGAAGTTGGATGCTTAACTGACTGAGCACCCAGGCGCCCCAAAGGTCTTACATTTTTAAATGGATAGAAAAAGTTAAAAAAAAAAAAAAAAAAAGGAGTAGGACTTGACACTCGAAAATTGCATATAAAGTTTTTACTGGAACATAGCCATGTTCACCCGTGCGCGGTCTATGGCTGCTTTTCGGCGTCCAATGGCAGGGGGCCGCTAGCTGCAAGAGACTGCTTAGCCCCCGAAGCCAGAAATACCCTCTAGTCCTGTACAGAAAGTGTGTGAACAGCTGGTATCTCGGGCCGCCCTGTCCCAGATTTCCTCAGTTAGCATGTGACGGAGGAATGTATGATGTTTCTATGACCACGTGAAAGGAAACGGTGGTCTTTACAATAAGCTGCTTATGTAACAAGCATCCTGTCTCCCCGACATACACCGGTTTTCCTATCCTTTCTGAACCGACATGACTTGGTCAGCTGCCGGCTTGTTAGTGAGCTAACGTCGATGTGCGCTCCGATCGGCTTGCCTAAGCGCTGTGGTTTTTTGTTTTGTTTTTTTAAGTTTATTTATATATTTTGAGAGAGAGAGAGAGAGTCAGGAGGGGCAGCGAGAGAGGAGAGAGAGAATCCCAAGCAGGCTCTGTGCTGCCAGCACAGAGCCCAACGGGGTGGGGGTGGGGGGAGGCTTGAACTAACCAACTGTGAGATCATGACCTGAGCTGAAAGCAAGAGTTGGATGCTTAACCGACCGAGCCACCCAGGAGCCCCTGTCTAAGCAATGTTGTTCCGGTACATTCTCAGTGGAAAGAAGAGCTCGGGTCTCCAAAAAAAAAAAAAAAAAAAAAAAACAAACCAGATGTGAGAAAGAGAGTACAGCACACAAGTGGTGGAGGGCAGGACAGAAGTGAGTCCTGCCCCGTGTCCCAGTGGTCAGTGGGGAAGATACAGCCAGGCCCTCGGGCCTCGGCCCTGGCTCTAATCCTGCTGTGACTGCCACTGATCCCACCACCTGGTGTTTATTCAGGGCTCACCATGTGTCAGGAAGGGGTGTGAGCACTGCATGTATGATTTTGTTTAATCCTCACGGTAAGCTTGAGAGGCAAGCTCTATTACCATCTCTGCCTCACAGGCGAGGGAAGTGAGGCCCGTGTCACAGTCAGGGCACATGGGAAGGAGACACAGAAACACGCGTCGGGGGGAGAGGACCCTAAGGCCTCTTGGATCCATTTCCCTCTCCTGAGCTGGGTGACTCAGAACATCTGTTGGGAGCCTTGGCCTGCTCGGCCTGCGGCTCATCTATTCTGCTGCTCCCGTCAGGCCTCTGACTGGGGACGGTGGGGGGCGGGGGGGGGGGGGCATCAGGAGCAAAGGGAATTTCCTGATTTTCTACTAGCCTTTCCCTCACCGTCACCTCCCTTCATCTGTTGTATTTATGGCAAATACTTTCCCTAGTTGTGATTTGCCTCTTGGAGTTTTCCTAGACTTAAAGAGCCTTGTTTAAAAAACGACACAGGGCTGGGACGCCTGGGTGGCTCACTGGGTTAAGCGTCCGACTCTTGATTTCAGATCAGGGCGGATTTCACGGTTGGTGAGTTCAAGCCCAGTGTCTGGCTCTGTGCTGACAGTGTGAAGCCTGCTTGAGGTTCTCTCGCTGCCCCTCCCTCCCTCCCTCCCTCCCTATCAAAAATAAACTTTAAAAAAAAATGACACAGGGCTGTTTTGTCTTCATAGTAAAGGGGATTAAGAAGAAAAACCTCATGCTCAAAATATTCTGGGTTTCCACTAGAAACTGTGTCTACTTTCCGCTCTCGGTTTAAGGCATGCCATACCAGCTCGGCTGCCCACACCTTCTGCTCCTTATGCGGGTTCCTAAAGGAACCATCGCCGGGCGTATTGCTAGAGGGTGCAATCCATTTACCCGTCATCTTTACAGAAACCCGCTAGCTGGAACTGAAAAACAGCCTGTCTTCCTCCCCAGCCTCTCCTTGCGGGGAGGGGAGTGAGGGGAGCCCTGCCCCAGCGGCACAGGACCCTCATCACCGAGATGGGGAGGGCAGGACAGGAAGGTGAGAAAATGGGTTGGGGCCTTGGCGGTTTGAGACAAACAAGAGAAAACCCTGGGGGCTACGCTCCTCCTGGTGGAGGGGCTGGCGTAGTGTGAACTCCACGCTGGACGGGGCCCAGGTGAGGGCGTGGGGCCGCTTGGCCGCAGTGGGGGCAGACCAAGGAGTTCCTGGGGAAAGGGTTTCTGCCTCCATCAACAAAAGAATTGGTCCCAGGACTCGGCTGTGTGCGTGTCGGGGTGGGGGTGGGGTCCCCTGGACAAACCCGGATTGAGGCTTCTCCCACCTGGTGCTGCACCTGCGGTTCGAGCTCACTGGCACAGGTAAGACCAAACAGGGAAACTGCAAAGTGGGTCAATCAAATGCTCAAGTTTATTGATACGTCATAGAACGCCCTTTCACTGGGAGGTTCAAGGGTGGTTTCTGAAACCCACTGTTGTCGGGCTCCAGCCCCAGGCCCAAGAGGGGCTGCACAGAGCTGTTGACTCCACCTGTTCTCGAAATCTGCTGCCTTCTGCTAGGCAGAAGATGGGTCCAAATGGCACAGAACTCTACTTTTTCCCCCTCTTCCTGGACATCACCAGAGAGGTGTTACAAGGACGTGCGGGTAAGCAGGTTTGGGGCGCTAAGCACATCACAGGGGGAGGAGGGCTCCCCCACACCCAGGCTCCCCAGCCCAGCAGTCCAAACCCCTGCTTCCACCACTACCTGGCCTCAGGGCTTTTCTCTCGGAGCGGGGGTTACTCTCCAAGCCTGTTTCTCCATCGGTAAAATGAGGCAAGTAAGGGTTGATATGCCGATCAAATAAATGTTAGCTCGATACAAACACTTCACCGTAACTGCCAGATTGACCTAAAAGGGTAAAAAAAGGATGTCTGAACGCAGCTTGCCGGGCGGGCCAGCCAGGGAAGGAGGCAAGTCCTTTCAGAAGCTGTCCGGCTTGGGGCGCCTGGGTGGCGCAGTCGGTTAAGCGTCCGACTTCAGCCAGGTCACGATCTCGCGGTTCATGAGTTCGAGTCCCGCGTCAGGCTCTGGGCTGATGGCTCGGAGCCTGGAGCCTGTTTCCGATTCTGTGTCTCCGTCTCTCTCTGTCCCAAAAATAAATAAAAATGTTGAAAAAAAAAAAAAAAAAAAAAAGCTGCCCGGCAAGAGCAAACGTGGT